GGACAGCCCTGGCTGTAAGAAAAGGTTCAGTTTGGTCTCCCATTATTACATTTCATAATCAACATGTGATGACAACTAGGCTCAACTAGTAGATTTGTTTTCCTCCAATGCTAGCCTGGGTGGGTCACACTGGAAAAAGGTTAAAATGTGCTTTCACCCAGTAACATTGCCTCATTTCTGATTAAAAGGGATTAAAATAATAAAATAAAGTTTTGGCTTGATCAGTTTACTGTCCGTTCCTTAAAGAAAAATGGTTAAAACATTACAAAAGTGTTCCTTGAATAAAAATAAATATTCCAAGCAAAGACAGAGTTATTCAAGGCTGCCACTTATTTCTGACTTTAGTACTTACAGAGTCCTGATCTTTGGCATATGGTTGAAACTGGTAAGAGGGATGCGGCTGATGTTGTTATTGTTGAGTGTACTGTTTAAAGAAAAGACAAACAGATTGACCAGTTATTTACATTGTTTTACCCCACACTATTTATAGAGATGAACTATTTCAGTATTGGGCCATAAGTTCATAGTGCTTCAAAAAATAAGATGTGCTGACATATCTCAGGAGCTATTTGTGAGTTGTCAAAATGCATTATTTTAATGGCAAAATAACCACCAATTGCACACAAGTAAACACAAATCCCCATTTAACATGCCCTGTCCAGGGATTTCATCCACTAGAAAATTTGTTTTCAAATAAAAGGGGAGATGTTGGCACATAAACGATCCTTAGCACAACCCATTTGCAATGACACACACAGCTCAAAGTGCTCTTTTGGAAACACAAGGACGGACGGGCAATTCTTGTTTGTTTTCCTTAGACAGAAATACGTGGACCGCGCTCCCATAATAAACATTTAATGTTCCAAGCATTAAAGGGTTTCAAACAGAAACTCCATGCAGTGTATTTTATCAGAGCTAGCATTAGGCAGAATGGGACCCTAATCACATCTTTTAAAATAAAAAAAATTGACTAGTTTAGTATCAACTGGGGCAGGCTGCCCCATTTATGTTGTTCCTTATTAGATCAGTGACTCCCTGGCAACTTAGAAGCTATCAAGTTTATCTATGATGCCATGAGAAATGGAACATACGCACCAGAAGGGCATACTTGCTAATCCCAATTGCTCAGAAATTGCATCTACAGCAGTCTACTATGTGCAGAGGCTTGGTTAAACCTGGTTGTTCATTGCCTACCATGATGCACTGTCCACCCTTCTTCTAACTGAAGTCATTAAAACTCTTTGTATTTCCCTTATTTAAAACACAAACACACAACAGTTGTTTATAGGAATGGCCCAGAACACTGAACTTTAGAACATCCATTCTGCAATCATTACTTTAGAAACCAAGGCTTTTTTTTTATTTTTAAATTAAGGGCTGCATGCTTTGTACGAGTGATACAATAAACAGTCATCTTCAATAAGATGTTAAAATGTTCCTGTAGTTACTTACACCTGAACTGTTTAGTGGTTTGTGCGGGATACTTCATCAAAAGATGTCCAAGAGCTTTCAAATAATTAGCTAACTAACCCTCTAATTCATCTGTAACCTCCTTCCAACAGATGTCTTGGTTTCTCTATACTAGAGATCAGCATGTACAACAGAAACCTCTCCATAGAGCCCAGTTTGCACAGCCTTAGAGTACTACAGCAGACCACAATACAATAGATTGAAGTATTTTAGCTCCACTAAAAAAACAGAGAATGTCAGATGTTGCATCAAATCAGAAATCCAGATCTCAATGTTCTCAAATACAGAGCGGAGAGTATGTTTCAAACCTGGACCTGAAGCAAAATACACATATTGCAATTTGAACCTAATTGGAATCCCAAATTCAGCATGCCCCAATTTCATTGGGAAGGGCAAAGAATTAGGGAGGAAAGCTCTGTCAACATCCGGAGTTGAATCCTGGATCACTCTTGGTGCAAACCATTCAAGACACGCACCAAGGCCTAACAGTGAACCCGTCTGAGGCTCAAAAGCTGCTTTTTGTCTGTTTTGCAGAACCCTTCCTTAGCACCATGATAATGCCAAAATGAATTTTCCCCGATGCCAGTGTGTATTTTAAAATGAAGCTCTCTTTATATGTACTTATAATTGCTAGATCATGGTATGTAGCAGATGGTGCAGAAATGCAGGTCAATGCTGGACAACTAGTCAAAAGAATTTGTGTGGCACAGTAATTTTCATACAGACAAATGAAACCTTCTGTAGGAATAAATGACAGCGATGTTTAGCAGCTCAGACAGAGGATTATGACTCAGAACTCCTGAGTTCAATTGCCTATGATCTTGGGCAAGTTACTGATCACTGGCCTCTGTTTCCTCATGTATAAAATACTTATCTACCCAGCCACTGATGTGCAATGTGCGTAAAAAAAAATCCTTGACTGAACCACCTTGGATGAGACTGTAGAAGTTCTAAGCATTATTACTGTCATTAGACCTTTGTTCTGATTTCACTCACTTGACCACCACAAGAATAGTGTAAGTGGCATGTATTACATAAAGCATTAGTATAGGTGAGAACTCCATGCACTAGTGTCATCAGAAATAGCCAAAGAACAACCATGAGTAACATAGTCAGCTTTGAAAATCAAATGACACACCAAATTGCTGACTGAATATGACAGAGAGGGCATTAAAGGATCCAAGGCAAATCAAACTGAGTTCAGTCGAGACTTTCCTTTTACTTCCACAGGAGACAGACTGGATTCCGAGAGAGAACATCTTCCCAAATAACTGAGAGCATGTCTACACCAGGGAGAAAATTGCACACCTGGAGTTGAATACTTTAAATCGACCAGCCGGTCTAGTGTAGGCTTAGGCTTAGAGAGACACTCTGTACACTATTCCCAGCACAACTGAAGAAAATTCAACCTGTACTGTCAAACATACTTAACTATATTTAAAAGCCTGCATATTTAATAGACAAAATATTAGCCAAGTCACCCAAATTCTAGCTTTGATACTCATTTACAACATTAAGAGTCCAATTGTTGCTATGCAGGAAAATTTCTATAGACCTCCAATAAATAAACAAATAACAAAGCAATAAATAATGGAATAGAGTTAATACTGAATGAATCCGTATTTCACTAATCTACTCATTAACTGCAAACTTTCAAGAATAATTGTAGCAGGTAGCTGCTGCACAGAAGACTTATTAATGTATTATTACACTGATATTTAAATGTTAACCATTATGAAGGCAATAAAGCGTTTATGATTATAGCAGTCTTTCAACAGAAAGAAGGCTAAATACAGCTATATAGCTTCCATTGCTCCATAAAAGGTACTTGTCTGCATTATTGGTCACAATTTTAGTCGGAGGAAATGAACCCCTTTGCAAAGAATCTTCATCATGTTGCAGTCCAACCCAGTGGCGTTCTCATATAAGCACTTGTATAGGAGAGCTGTCCAGAGAGACGGAGCAGAGCCAGACAGATATTTTGAAAACCAAGCATATGAAGCAGTTTCCAAGCATATAAAATGCATTTCCCTAGCTACAATTGTTAAGCCTGTGTGTGGTGTTAGAGTCACAAGACCATAATGTGCTTGTATATGCAGGATGAGGGGAAATACAGAAAATCCACTCCCTCAAATTTCTATCAAGTGCTAAGAAGCCCAAGAGAAATGGACTAAAGACCCAACCATAGGCAAAGTTGAATCACAGCAGAATGCTATGTGAGATCCTCAACTCTCATAACATCTAGGTCCCCTCGGCATCATGTGGGGAGATAGGAAACCCACCTCATGCCACCTTCTGATCAGGATCACACCTTTCACCTGCCCCTTATTTCAGGGCCAAGTTTACCTACATCCCTCACAAACTCAGTCACTATTGTAAGGTGTCCACTTTAAAAATGCTGCATCAGAAATGCAAGCTTATCTATGGCTGGACACCTGCCAACCTGGACTCTGATTTTGTCAGATCCTGAAAACACTCTCAGGATGCATCAGTACCTGGTAGGCTTACCAGAACTACATGGGAGCAGCAGAAAATGGCGCTTGCCACCTTTAGGTGGCATTTCCCTCTCTGAGGCACATCCTCAGCTGAGGTAAATTGTCATACCTCCAATGAATCTATACCAGTTAAGATTAGCCCCTTGGGAGATGCTCACTTTCCCCTACACTCTAAAACGGACTTGTGGTCATTAAAAGATCACCTAGCATTTTTCCAGAAGTAGGAATGTTGGCTCTGGAATCTTGCATGCTGCATATGTGTGTATCCTGTGACTGATTTTCATGATGTTTCAATGGCCAGTTTTTATTCTGATGTTACCCATCTCCTTTATGGGTCTGGAATCCTGACCAAATCCCTAAACTGGTAAACACAATCTGCCTACTTCCTCACACTTCCATGCAAATTCAAGAGCGTACAACATTCTTACACACTTCCTAGTGGCTCTCCACTGTTGTGCAGCTTTGCAGTGCGCTGATAAAAAATTACCAAATTCCACCTGAAAGGTGACTGCATTTTCTGCAGACTGACATGATCCTTAGTATTTCCACTTTTTTTGGAAAGTGCTTTAGAATGAAAGTACTATCATCAATCTGTCGATCTAAAATCATTGTAATATATGAAAGGAATTAATCCCACAACATTCAAATACCTCTGTTTTGTAGTCTGAGGTGCTAATACATGATTGATACTTATATACAGTACTAATCTTTATACCAAATTCTAGATCGAACATATTAGTTTTTAGGCACAGCCCAAATATTCTGACCAAAATGCGAAGGGATTAGATTTCTAATCTACCTATTATTACTACTCAGTTTGAAAGACTCAGCAGTCTACCCATCTCCATCAACTGATTAGGAAGTGAGAAATCCTGGGACCTATGCTGAATGCCAGAACTCTCTCCTTTTTCATTCTTATTGCTTCAAGCTACAGGGAAATATTATGGGTTTTGTACCTCTTTGTTGTGTCTTTGCACCTCTAACTTATACAAAAACATACCTTCATACTAAAATGGCCAGCGGCTTACAAATCGGTAATAATAATAATTAATTAATTAATTAGAACAATTTCTCCTTACCTACTCCAGTTAAGTACTGGAAATATACTGTTAAGCCAGAGATGACTTCTGGCAATGACATCAGAAAAGTTTACAAAGCAAATGTAAGAAAGGTTATGTTATATACTTACATTACAACAAGTAAAAAAGATAACAGTATTAACCACCTTGCTATTTTTTCAGTCAACCAAAACTTCAAGTGGGAAAACAGGTTTCTTTTTTGATATCTTTTACAATCAAAAGGTCCTATTATATAACAATAATTAATTATCACCCACTAAAGACCAGCTAATACAAGTTATAGCATTCTATTTTGTGAGTTCTATAGAGAAAAGGACCCCACAGAAAATCTAATTTTCCTCCTCTACACGGTACACTTTTTCATAAAGGACATGCACAGG